TTAATTTTTTTATTGTGCGTAATCGATATCATAGATTCTTCATTCTTTTCTTTTTTTTGCTGCCATTTTTCATTTGTTTGTTTGTTTTTTTTTTTTTTTTTTGTTTCTTTCTTTCAATTTTTTTCACTGATCAATGTTTGATAAGATTGGGAAGATGGAGCTTCTACATGCTATGTAGCCTTTTACACTTGCTTATTATTTAATGGTAAGTGATGAAGTCGCCATCATTAACAAAGCAATACTGGCTTTACCAAAGCTATAGATGGTAACAAAAAGTTCAGAACACCTAATATCAACCTGAATAAATTTGGCTAAGAATGTTATGTAATGGTGGACGTACACTAACTGCTCATGTGGGGTGATGACATGTGAAGTAGAACCTGTCAACTAATCAGAAAATCTAAGTTTTCAAATCCCCCTATTTATATCTCTAATAATTTGTTTTAATTCCAATAACAGTAACTGTTTTCAGGGTTTTTTGTTGTTGTTGTTGTTGTAATGACAGATTACACCAACATACCATGTCTCACCATCTATTCCAAACGGCCAAAAGAAATCATATAAGGCTATATTTGGTTCAGCTGTCCAAATGGTGATACCAATCGCTGCAAAAAGCTATAGTTAGAAATCCTATTCAAACTCTAATAAGGGTTCAGCTGTTGGGAGTTAGCAACTAGCCCCCAACAGTTGAACCAAACAGTCCTAGTAAATTTTCAACACAGTGATGGACGTTTAGATAGTAGGTCAAGTACGAGCTTCTCTCAATAACAGATCAAGCATCCAACAACAATTTCATGATATTGATTTCTTTCCTAACAAGTAGAAGCAAATTGATTCCATAAAGATGATTAAAATTCTAAAAAGAAGACCTAGATTGCCGCTAACGTAGTTGCAGTACCATGTAAGGTTCATATCCAAATTAGTTTTTATCAAAGATCAGTATCACCACTAATATCTATGTTTAAATCACTAGAAAACAGCATTTCAAGGTGGGTTACAGGTCTGGCAGGGACCACTAAAGGTTGTCTGAGGACTGCCCCTTCACTGCATTACTTGTTCTTGGAGTCACAATAGGCTCAGCTTTTAATCATTTTCAAGCCATAAGTAACAGTGAAAGGGGTGGCCCTGGACTCATCCACAGGCAAGATCTCTTTGATTCTCTTTGTTTTCCGTGGATGGAGAAATGAGATATTGCCTTTTCTCTTTCTAGGGCCCATCTTTATTTTCGTAGTTTTATTTTTCTTCCTCCTAATCTTTGGAATTTCTCTCTCTACCTTTCACATACTGAAAATTCCAAAGAACGAAAAGCTAAAATCCATTTGGCCAAAAAAGGAAAAAACGAAGCAAAAATCCACAAAGATTCTCTAGGATTTGTGTGTTTCTTTGGAGCTAGTTGTAGCTTCCATGCAACTGTCTTCACCTATGAACAAGAATCCTGAGAAATGGCACAAGATTTGTTCCATCCAAGAATTCAGAATACAAGTCCAATGCTATAACTAAGGAAAATAGACAGTCCATGTTAGAGGCCCAGCTAGCAGCAGTACAGATTCTTCAGAAAAAAAGGGTTGGCTTATGTTTTGGGCTTTTAACACAAGTCCAATGCTAACAGATGACCTAAGAGAACTTGCAGTTGAGTTTTGAGAAGGGAAGCAAGAGATCATAATACTTCCTACCAATATACGGTTACAGGTTTTCTATCTTATGTTTAAGATACCAAATTGCAGTGCATCAATTCATTTGGGATAAACTCATTCACATGAATCAAGATTTTGATTAATTCAAACAATCAGAAAAATATCCATTTCATCAGCAACAATCGATAGATAATATAAATTACATGCTGCAAACAGTATGGTAAGACGAGACATTCTACTTCCATAGATTAACATACTGCATAAAAACAACATAGCTATATCACATAACAAGGAAATTTCCACTCACAGTCTTTCATCTTTTCTCTAGTCCCACTATATTAGCGACTCATCTCCAGCTTCTGCTGATTCAAAACAAAATCATGAGAAATATTTCAGTGGACTACAATAACTGAAGGGTTATGAAAGCATACAATTGTCTAAAATGGTACCTTTCCCAGGAACCACAATAACAGGAGCAGCTTTGCAATGATGAAAGCAATACTCACTCACACTTCCCTGAAGTACGCTGCAGAAATTACCAACAAGGAGTGAGGGATAAAGAAGATCAAATCAAATGGGAAGGGGGAGACTTATAATTGTAAAAGTGGGATGGTGAACCAAATCCAAGCCAGCAGGCGCAAAGAAAGAGAATGGGAAAAGGGATGAAGAGGACCTCTGCATTATGCTTCGGCCACGGGTACCCATAACCACAGCTGCTGGCTTTATCCTGTCTGCTTCCCGGCAAATAACCTTACCTGCGTCCCCCTCCACAATCCGAGCCACACACTTCACCTAAACATCAATTATCAGTAGGTCAATATAGAAAAACAGAACATGGGATGCTTATAAATATTCTACGAGTAAGGAGAA